AGTACTGGATCAGAGCTACAACTTGAATGGGACCAACCGAAATGAAACGGCGTGCGTATGAAGCAAACTCAATTTTTGTTCTGCGCTCAATGAAATCCAATGCAAACGCACGCAAACCAATTTCGGGAGACGCAAAAAAGAAGCCTCTTAGTTTCTTCTTTAAATTATTGTACTAAATCACTAAATTACAGTCTGAGCTCCAGCTTACTTTTAGCACGTATCCACTGAATTTATTTAATTTTCGTTCCAATGTATCTACTCATTGTTTACATCGCAGACTACATTATTGAAATTTTTACTACATACGTATTGTTGTGGCGAGTTATTTGCATTTGCAATTTGTGTTCTAAAAATAAAGTAACAATAGCATTGAGTTAAAAATAACAACCGTTAACAAATATTTATTTAAAGACAAATTAGTACAAATATGTTAGTGGTAACCATAGGTGATATCGCGAACGCCACAGACTTTCAATGGCGTCACGAGCAATACTTATTTGTTCTTTTGATAACGCCAACAAATTTGTAAAATATGCACAAATTTCTACCGGCCGACATTCATATATACATATGTATTTCTGTAAGTACATACATATTGAAATTTGTTGAAAATATTCATACCTACATGAATTGCGAGTTATACAAAGTAATGAATAATATTTAACACTGTTTAACAGCATTTTTACGAAAAAGAAACAACTAAATATTCTGCTGAAGGTAGTTATGGTCCAGCACGTCTGCGCTCTGCCCATTTATATGCAAAGGTTAAGAAGGTCACAACAGGTTTTAATAACTGCGGAAGAGTTGTTTGTACCTGCACATCAACCCACTATCGTCCTTCCTTTCCTCATACCTTTTACCATTTTTTTTTTTTGGATTTTACAAGAACGTAATTGGCGTAGGGTTCTTTTCACGAATGTTTAAGTTTTATACAGTTTTGCCAAAATATTACTTATAGCCAGTTTCACGAAAGAAATTTAATTGAAAAATGATTTTTAAT